CCCACCCCCTCCCCCTCCCCCTCCGCTCGGCGGCCGGAGGGCAGGAGCGCGGCCGCGAGGAGGCCGGGCGAGCGCTGGGGGTCCTGGAGGGAGGGGGGAAGGGGAAGGGCGCGAGACTCCGAGCCGGACTCGAGCAGGGAGGGAGAGGGGGTGGGAGGGAGCGCGCAGGGGAGGGGGGAGCGCAGGGGAGGTGCGCGAACACCAGCCCCGCTGCCCGCGAGGCGAGGGGCGGGGCGGCGCGCGCGGATCGATGGGCGAAGCTGGGGAGGAATTTCAATCCCCGGAGCGAAGTTAGAGCTTGAAGGACGGCGGCGGCGGCGGCGGCGGCTGGCGCAGCCCCGGAGCGGCGGCCGGGCGAGCAGGTAAGTGCGGAGCCCGCGGAGCCCGAGTCCACGCGGGACTGGGGCCGAGCCTGGGCGCGCGGGAGTCCAGCCACTCCCGGGGGCGGCGCGGCGGGTCCCGCACCTCGCGCCGCCGGCGCGCTCTCCCTACGCCCCCGGCCCTAGTGCGCCCACGCCCAGCGCGCCCTCCGAGCGCAGCGGGCAAAGTTGGAGGAACTTGGCGGCGGCGGCGGGGAGAGCGGGGTCCTGGATAGGGGTACCGCTGACGCCCCCGGATCGCCCCTGCCCCTCGCACAACTACTCCTCGCTAGGACCTGCCCCTTCCCCAGCACCTCTGCTTCCTCGTCGCTCCCTCGTCGGTCCGCATCCCACCCTCGCCCAGAGCTGCTGCTCCCTGCGGTCGACCCGTTGCGGCCCTTGCCCTTCCCCAAACCTCCTCGGCCGAGGGTCCCTGAGCCCCGTCGGTGCCGGTGTCACCATTCTTGCCCTGTCTGCCCGCTCTCCGACGTTGCGCGCCTCCCCACTAGGCACCCCGGGACGGTCCAGCCTTACTCGGAGGAGGGGCCGCATTCTGCAATCGGGGAGCCAAAGCCCTGGCGTAGGGGTGGGGGCGGGGGCCTTTGCTCAGAACCAGGTGGATGTTCTCCACCCCTCCCCCACCTCGGACCTGTTCTCACTGTCATCCCTTGGGGGAGGGGTGCTGAGCCTCCTTGCCCCAACCTGCCTCTAAGGACGCAGGTCCCCCCCTTCCATCCTGTAAAATCCGCAGCTCACCTGCTCGCTGCTCAGGGTGGGGCCCCTTGCAGGTGTTCCCCCTCCAAAACAGACCGACAGCCTCTGGCAT